AAGGACAGCGATACCGAGAGCAAGGTCTTCTACCTGAAGATGAAGGGCGACTACTTCCGCTACCTGGCCGAGGTGGCCAGCGGGGACGACCGCCTGTCGACGATAGAGAAGGCCCAGGAGGCCTACCAAGAGGCCATGGACATCAGCAAAAAGGAGATGCAGCCCACGAACCCCATCCGCCTGGGGCTGGCCCTCAACTTCTCCGTGTTCCACTACGAGATCGCCAACGCCCCCGAGCAGGCCATCTCGCTGGCCAAGACCACCTTCGACGAGGCCATGGGCGACCTGCACACGCTCAGCGAAGACTCCTACAAGGACAGCACCCTCATCATGCAGCTGCTCAGGGACAACCTCACGCTATGGACAGCCGAGTGCGCCGGCGAAGATGGCGGCGAGGCTGGCGAAGAGCCCAAGAACTGAGCGTCCCCTGCCGAGCCGGGCCGGCCCCACCTGCCCCGCTCCAGACCCTTCGGCATCTCTTTCTGGTGGTTTTTTTTTTTTGGTTGTCGTTTTTTTTGATTTTTTTTTTTTTTTTTTGATTGGTTTTGGCAGGGAGGAGTCTCAGCTCCCCCCAGCCTGGATACCGGGAGTGGGGGTGGTTTTGGCAGGGCCCCTCCCTCCCTCTCCTCCATCCTCTGCTCTGGGGAGGGGGAAAAGAGGGAGAGGGGGTGCCTCTGTCCCGGAGAGCTGCCAGACCCCAAATATTTAACAATTTTTGCGGGGGGTGTCCAGTCTGGCTTGTGCCAGCTGCAAACCCCCTGTCCCAGAGGGCTGGAGCAGCGGCAGGAGGAGGTGAGGGGCTGGGCCGGGGCGAGGGGGGGTCCGGGCAGCCCCCCCATTCCGGGAGGGGGTCGCGTGTTGCCGAAGCCTCTGTGCTCCAATAAACCTTCTCCTGCACCTCTGCTCTCGTCTGCCTCGTCTCTCCCTGCGCACATGTCCGGGCAGCTCCGGCGCCCGCCTCGCCTCCCTCCCGTCCCAGGGGTGGGGGCAGCCGGGCCCCCAGCACCGGGGGGTGCTCTCGGTGCCCCCCAGCCCCACAGCAAGGTCTGGGGTGAGCTGCGACCCGTGGAAGGGCTCGGGGGTCTGTGCATCCACGGGACGGGGTTTTGGTAGCCCCACGCAGGGCTGGCTGCTCCACGAGGTGCTCAAAGGTCCCCGAGTCTCTGACCCAGCCCCGTTAATACAAACCCAGAGTTCCCCAAAACCTGCCCTGACACCCCTGTGTGGGTCCCCAGGTTCTCCCCCACGGCTCCTCGAATTCCAAGGAGGAAAACGCACAAAAGCTGCACGGGCAGCGACACAGGGGCACCCCGGGCTGTCAGCGGGGTGGGGACACCCCTCTGGAGGTGCCGACGCGCTGGGACAGGTGAAAGCTCAGCACTTCTGGCCCTGGCACGGCGCCACGGGAAGGGCGCAGCTCCCTCCCCTTCCCCCCACCAGCGCGTTCCAACATGAAAAATAATTACAATAAAATACAGTCACAGCACCCCGGGCTATGAGCTCAGCAGAGCCAGCAGGGCCGGGCAGGAGCCGGCCTTTGATGGAAGCCCTGCGATGCCGGGAGGAAACGCGCCGTGACTCAGGACCTGCACAGGGGGGACACGCCAGCCCTGAGCCCCGCCACAGCCAAATCCCAGCCCGTGGAGAGCCAGGGAATTGGGGAAATGAGGCACAAGCAGGGACGTGACCCCCTTGGTGCATGCAGGAGTTGTGGGGTGCCCGGGGAGCGAGGGCCGGCCTGGGATGTAACCGGGGCAGCGCCCGCTCAGCCTGGATGGGGCGCCTGGAGCAGATCCCAGCAGAGGGGATGGACCCCCCAGCCCCATCACAACCCCCCAGAGCCCACTGAGGGACCCCAAGGCTCGGCCTCCACCCGGCCCCGAGCGCTGCCGGCCTGGGAACAGCCCCAGACCTGTAATTAGACGGGAAAAACGAGCTGAGGGCTCGGCCGCCCTGACCCCGCGGCCTGGGGACACCCGGACTGGTTCGGCTGGAGCTGGCGGTGCTGGTGCCCAGGAAGGGATCACTGGGGTGTCCGTCCGTCCCTGGGGCTGTGGGTTCCCCCGGCTCCCCAGGAGTTAACTGATTTCAACAGCTCCCGAAATTGCGGCTGGGCCGTGTAGGAGGAGGGTGCTCCCCGCTCCCAGCCGGTCCGGCAGCTTTTCCAGGCTGGGAAGGAGGAGGCCCTGGATTCCCGCGACACTCCTGTGAGAGTGGGGAGTTCTCTGGGGTCCTTCTGTCCCCCTGCTTCACACAGGATGGTGGGACTCAGGTAAAGACCAGGGAGGCATCGGGACCTCCATCCCCACCCTCGTCCTCGTCTGGTGGCTGTGGAATGTTCTCAGCATCCCTGAAGGGGCATCCAGAAAATCTCTCAAATCGATCAGTTTTAGTGTCCTCAACACCCTTAGAGCAGAGGGACTGTGTGCCCAGGGCCAAGGAGTGTCCCCCACTCCCCCAGCAGGGCCCTGGCACAGCCCCTACAGGGGCTGGTAGCCACGGGGAAAAGGCCACAAAACAGGTCTGTGAGGGCCAGCGGGGATGTTCTGCTGCCTGCAAAAGGCTCTGCCCATCCCGAGTGGGAGATGCAGGACCCACAGCCCTGCCTGTCCCTGCCAGCAGCTCTGCCAGCCTCCCCCAGGCTTTGTGAGGCACCCAGACACGGGGAGTGCATCCCCTGGCCTGGGGCAGCCTCCAGCCAGCCGGGCACCCCTGCCTGCTCTGGGGGCTCTGGCGATTTTGGAGAGGTTTTTTATCCCCATTAGAAAGCACTGCTTGATGGGCAAACCCATCTTTTGAGCAGGATGGAGCTGGAAATGAGGGCTGGGAGCCTGGAGGGGGCCCAGGACAGCTCAGCTCCCTGGCTGTGATGCTGCTCCATGCCCAAACCGCCAGGTTCGGGCTCGGTCCCACGGCCAGGGGGGCTCAGCAGGTAGGACCAGCTCTGCAGAAAGCCGGGCCCCCTCCCAGGGATGGTTGGGGTGACTCATCCTGGCCCTTGGCCCCGCCGGTTGCTCAAGCAGGATGGCAGCCAAAGTGTCACCTCCCCGGGCCGGGAGCTGTCCCCTCCCAGCCTGGGGTGTGGGTGCAGGGCCAGGCTGCCTTGCACCCTGCATTTCTCACCAGGGCTCCAGCCTTCCCTGGCCACCCTGGGCAGCAGCAGAATTGTCCCCTCCAGGCTGTGGGTCCCCCTGATCCGTCTGTAAGAAGCTCCTTGGGGCAAAAGCGCTGCAGTTTTGTGCTGAAGCTCTCTGGGACCTGAGCATTTCCAGCTGGAACACGATCCATGGCCTGAGCTGGGTGGTTTCCATCCCAAGGCTGAGGCTGCAGATATCCAGGGCATTCAAATAAAAAAGCCAAAAAGCCACAAGAAAGCTTTGATGGCTCTTACGTAACTCGGCCTGACCTGACCATACCCTTTTAAGCCATGAAATCTCTCAAAGCCATGAAAAAGCCACTATAAAATTAATAATTTTATGATCCCTGCTCCCACCCCTTCACAGCAACTACAGAGCTCCAAAACAACCAGGACAAGGCCACGGGCCACGGGTGAGGATGGGATTTGATGTTAGATTGGCTTCCAGAGCTTCAGCACTGAAATCCAGCCAGGAATACCCAGGGAAACTCCTGGGCTCCGGGAGGAGCTGAGGCACTGGCAGCACACTGGGGTTTGACTTTGATATCTGAAATCTCTGTTTCATTGGGAGGGGGTCTGGGTGAAGCACAAGCATTGTGTGTCTGCATCCTCCTCTCCCTGAGCTCCTCCTGGTCTCCCAGTCCTGACCACAGACTTGGGAGGTGTGGGAAAAATTCATTTTAATTCCATGCCCAGCTGCCCAAGACCCCGTTCACATTCAGAGCCACCAAGGATCCAGCCTCCAATCCCTCTGCCAAGGGCCAAACCATCCTGTGAGAAAATCCTGCTGGATTTGATGCAAGATCTTGGGCAAGAGGCGATGCTGAGTCTGCAGAGATCTGGGATCGGGAGTCGCGCCCGCTCCCATCCCGTGTGCAGCTGCCGGGAGGCACCGGAGCCTCCCTGATGTGGACACCCCACTTGTCACCCCCAGCCCCCCCGATGGACCCCCAGCCCCCCAAAACCACCCCCAGCCCCCCTGATCCACCCCCAGCCCCCCTGATCCACCCCCAGCTCCCCAAAACCACCCCCAGCCCCCCTGATGGACCCCCAGCCCCTCAAATCCACTCCCAGCCCCCCTGATGGACCCCCAGCCCTCCTGATCCACCCCCAGCTCCCCAAAACCACCCTCAGCCCCCTGATGGACCCCCAGCCCCCCCGATGGACCCCCAGCCCCCCTGATGGACCCCCAGCCCCCCAAATCCAACCCCAGCCCCCCTGATGGACCCCCAGCCCCCCAAATCCACCCCCAGCCCCTCTGATGGACCCCCAGCCCCCCTGATGGACCCCCAGCCCCCCAAATCCACCCCCAGCCCCCCTGATGGACCCCCAGCCCCCCAAATTCACCCCAGCCCCCCAAATCCACCCCCAGCCCCCGATGCCCCCGATGCAGGGGTCGGCGCAGGCAGCACACGAGGCTCAGCGCTGCTGCCAGGGCTGGGGGGACACGGGCAGGAGGGGAAGCCCCGGGATGGCTCAGAAGAGACCTGGATCTCTCTCCCTGCTGGGAGAAAGCAAGGCCAGGAGGAGGAAGGTGGATGAGGACACGCAAGGCTGCTCCTGGGAAAGGCCCGGGATGCAAACCACGAGCTGAGTCACACAGGGGTTTCTCAGCCAGCACCCCAAAAGCTGAGCTGGGGCTGTGCTGCTCCAGCCCCTGATCCCTGCAGGAGCAGCAGCAGGGCCCTGCCTGCTGTCCCTGAGCCCTCCGGGCAGGGCACAGAGGGACAGGGACAGGGACAGGGACAGGCCCAGGGACAGGGACAGGTCCCACTGGCCGCTCCCAGCACAGGCGCTTCAGCCTCGGGCTCTGGAGCACTCTTGGGTTTATTTGTGCAGCTTCAGCAAACTCTGAAGATGAAAGTGAGACCGAGGACTGTTTTATTAAGAAAGAGTCCATCATTATTTCTAAGAAAAAGAAAAACAAACATCCCTCTGTCCTTGAGACGGCGTGGAGGCGTCCTGGCCTGGATTCTGCTCGGAGCACTGGGCCCATGCACGCTCCTGCAGCACTCCCAGGGCTGCTGCCTCGACTCTCACTGCACCCGAGGCAGCTCCAGCTGATTTTTCTTTCTCTGGATCTGTCTAGCTCATGATGGAGGAGACCTTATCTCTTTTTTCCTTGCTCTCCCTGCCTTCCCTGGCTCGATCTGTCTGTTCCTAGGGGAAGACCCTCAGCCACCTCCCTCCTGCCAAAGCCCTGCTCTGGGCAGCAGGCCTGAAGCTCAGGAGGTCAAACCCACCCAGAGAGGGTCCAGACTCTGCCTGGAAAGGCTTTCAGTCGTTCTGAGTCACAGCTGAAGCTCGGGCTAGGAAAAGGAGAGGTGTCAAAACAGAGGAGCCAGGGAAGGGCGTGTCACAGATCCATCACCTCCTCTTCCACAGCTTTGTCCTGAGATTGCACATACTTCTCCTGCACTGCCAGGGTGCTGATAACGCAGTAATTAAGGAAAACGAGGGGCTGGGCTCAAACACTCCCTTCTGCAGGAGCTCTGAAGTTCCCATCGAGGAACCAGCCCAGCCTCACATTAGCCCAAAGGCCATTGGGAAGAGGCAGCACCACCTGAGTTACCTCTGGCTCTGCCTGATCCCCGGCCTGACAAGTCCAGGAGAATCACCTGTATGGTTTGAAGGAGAAGGAAAGAACCCACCCAAGGGAGAGTGAGAGAGAGGAAAGCTGTCAAAAGGTTCCTGACACGTTCACGGTGTCAATTCCCAGCCTCTGGTGGGTTTGGTGAGGACACGTGTCTGCCCCAGGCTGGGCTGAGCACACCCCACTCCCCACGTGTGTGTCACCACCAGATGATGAACCTGGGCCTGCAAATTCCAGCCTTGGTCCCCCAGGGAGAGAGAAACTAAACTGAACAGCAGAGAGGATACGAGGAGAAGTGGAAGTCGGCCCCCACCGCTGCCGACATCAGCGCCTCCAGGCTCCGGTGCTCCTGGTCCCCGAAGGAATATCCATTGGCCTTGTCCACGGCCTGCATCACCTGCCTCATGCTCTGCTTGTCCTGGGAGGAGGGAGCTCGCTGGCACCTGCTCCTTCCCCCAGGCAGGAGCTCACACTGGCCTGTGCTGTTTTCTCTGGGGCTCGGGGCCCCGGGGACACCAAGGACAAACAGGGACAAACAGGGACAAACAGGGACAAACAGGGACAAACAGGGACTGGCTCTCCACCCTCTCATTCCCTTTCATCACTTTCTCCCAGCCCATTTGCCTGCTGACACTTCTGCCAGCTGCCTGATCAAGGACATTTCCAGCTCTCCCCCTCCTTCTCATCATTTGCTGCTCCCTAATTTAACCAGTTTTTAGGTGATCCTCAGCTCAGATTTGAAATGCAGGCCAGAAGAGCTGAAGGAAGGGGCAGCCTGGATTCCCCACCCCGGGACACAAGGCCCAGGGAGCCCCAAGCCCATCAGCCTTTTCCTTTGGCTGCCACAGATCACTTCCAAGTCCGTTTCCCAGCCCTGAGTCTCCTGACAGCAGAGGTTTCCAGCCCTGTGGCTCTGAGCAGACAGAAAGCAGCTGCTGCACATGCAGGGCTCCCTGTCCCTCCTGCTGGCTCACCTGGACGTTGAGGGGCACGAAGGACACCAGGCTGTAGTCCTCGATCACCTCCACCAGCTTCTCGTTGAGGCGGCGGAAATTCCTGAAGAAGGGGTCGGAGGCCAAGTGGTCCACGAGGTAAGAGAGGTCCAGGACCTCGGTGTAATAATCCAGGTTGAAAGCTGCAGGGCGACAGGGAGCTCTGGAGGCAAGCTGGAAGCTGGAGAGCACAGCGGGATCTGCAGCAGCTCCCACCCAGCCCCGTTCCACACCCTCCCCCTCAAATTCCTCCCAGTGTGCAAGGCCAGAATGGAGCTCTGAGGTGTCCCTGCCCACCAGGGAGGCAGAGGAGCCGAGGTTCGAGGTGACTTCCCCCCCAGAGCACGCTGTGCCCCCCGAGTCCCTCACCCAGCTTCCCGTACTGCTCAATCAGGTCCATCTTGGAGAGGACGTTGACGTGGGGCAGCTCCACGTGCAGCATGGTGGCCAGCGAGGTGCAGAGCACGGAGATGAACTTCCCAGGATCTGTGCAGTAGTGGGAATCCACCAGGTGCACGGCAGCCAGCTGGGCAGCGAGGCACAGAGGGACACACGAGGTCAGACCTGTGACAAGCCCTGCTCGAGGGACAGGCCCAGGAGGATCTGTCCAGGCCTGACTGCACCACCTGGGAAATCACCTCCCACCTCCTGCACACAAAACACAGCACCAGAGAATCTTGGGCTGCTTTGGGTCAGAGAGGACCTTAAAGATCACCTGGCCCCAGCCCTGCCATGGCAGGGACACCTCCCACTGCCCCAGCTGCTCCAAGCCCCATCCAGCCTGGCCTTGGGCACTGCCAGGGATCCAGGGGCACCACAGCTGCTCTGGGAACCCTGTGCCAGGGCCTGCCCACCCTGCCAGGGAACAATTCCCAATTCCCAATCTCCCACCCAGCCCTGCCCCTGACAGTGGGAGCCATTCCCTGTGTCCTGTCCCTCCATCCCTGTCCCCAGTCCCTCTGCAGCTCTCCTGAGCCCCTTCAGGCCCTGCCAGGCTCTCCTGGAGCCTTCTCTGCTCCACGCTGAACACCTATCCAGGTATACAAAGTGTCTGCCACATTCCCAGCCATGGATTCAGACCCAGGGAAGGGCTCTGGGAGGCTTTTAGAGCTCCACCAGCAGCACCACAAGGAACTTCAGCCTGCAGCTGCTCCCCCTTTTCTCAGGGTTTCTCTCTCTGCAGCTGAAGTTCCACACTTGTCTGAACTCTGTGGGGATTTTGGGGTGGGAGCTGGGGCAGTTCCCCTCCTGAGCAGCTCAGCTGCCTCCAGCTCCCCACAGGAATGCCCTCAGCCCTTCAGGAGCAGTACCTGCAGCACACCAGCTCTGCTGGGAGAGCCCCAGTGGTTCACACCGATCGTTAATAACTGCACTAACGAGCTCTGTGATCCCCTGGGTTTGTGTGGCTGTAACAATGCGGTCCCAGAGCTGGGGAAGTCACTCCAAGTCAGGGCTCTGAGTCACAGCAGCAGAGCCCAGCCAGTCTGGGGCTCCCAGGCTGAGAGGGAGAGCAGGACCAGCCCTGCAAACATTTTATTTTAGCAGTTCCAAGCCCATGTCCATTTACTCCAATGAAAATAAGCTCTAATGTGCAAATTCCCAGTGACATTCCCAAGCAAATGAAGCTGCCCTGCTTGCTCAGAGCACCCAGGTTTGCTCACTGGTGGTGTGGCCCCGCCGCAGAGCCAGCGCAGCGTCAGCAGCTCCCGTTGTGCAAGAGCCCAGAGCCCATCCCACGGGCTGCAGGAGGGGCCTGGCACGGCCCCTGCATTCCTCAGGGCACTGCCAAGGCTCCCAGCACACTCAGAGCCCCACTGTGGGTGAAACAGCCGGGCTGAGGGAGGATCCTGCAGCACAGCACTCCTGCCCCATCCCTGGGAGCGTTCAGGGACAGGCTGGAGCTCCCTGGGCTCGTGGGAGGCGTCCCTGCCCGTGGGATGGAGCCAGAGAGGCTTTGAGGTCCCCTCCAACCCAAACCATTTTGGGATTTCGTGTGCAGTGTGAGGAAGGAATCTGTGTTCCTGCTCCCAACCCCACTAAAAGCATGACAGGCCATTCTTTTGCAGATCTCTCCCAGCATAAAATAGGGAAAAAATTCCCCTTTTTCCCTGATAAAGGCCAAAAATTTCCCAGAGATCCCCCAACCCCCTGTGCCTGTGGGAGCTGGTGGGTGCCCAGCACATCCCTACCCTAAAATTCCACTTGGCCAGCTGGGCGAGGACGTTCTTCAGGGCCTGGTGGTGTGTGTAGAGCTCCACCTGGCCGGGGCAGTCGAAGAGCAGGTAGTGTCCCCGCAGGGCGCGCAGCCGCTCCCGCAGCCAGTCGGCGTTGGCCTCCAGGTACTCCATGCAGTAGAGCAGTCCCCCGTTGGGGCCCAGCCCCAGCCCGGCCATCACGTCGGGCAGGGTGACCAGCTCGCCGATGTCCAGCGCGCAGGGCCGGGCCAGCGCCTCGTTGGCGGGGTCCAGGTTGACCACGGCCACGCTGCGGCCCAGCCGCGCCAGGAACTCCCGCATGGCATGGCAGTACGTGGTCTTCCCCGAGCCCGGCGGCCCGATCACCACCTGGCCAAAGGCCAGCGGGGCCGTCCTGCTGCCCTCAGCCCTGCTGCCCTCAGCCATGCTGGCTCATCGTCCTGCTGCCAGCGCTCGGGGGACAGCGGGGACAGCACCCGAGGGGCTCTGCGCCTGCGGGGACAGGCTGTGCTACAGGGGACGGCAGGGACAGCTCCTGCTGAGGGACAGCAGGGACGGCACCACCGAGGGCTGACCCGCACCCCTAGCGCCCATGTACCCCCTTCTCCCCACCACCCCACTTGGCCCCAAGTTTCCCTCACGTCCCCTCTTCTTCCAGATGCTTCATCCCCTGTTAACCCCACTGATCCCCGTTATCCCCCCCATCCCCGTTATCCCCCCCATCCCCGTTATCCCCCCTATTCCCCCTACCCCCGTTGCCCCCCCCCGACGCCTGTTACTCCCCCCATCCCCGTTACCCCCCCCCCCCCATCCCCGTTACCCCCCCCCCCCCAATCCCCACTATCCCCCCGGTTCCCGTTACCCCCCCCCCATCCCCGTTACTCCCCCCTCCCCATCCCCGTTATCCCCCCGGTCCCGCGGCCGCTCACCCGCCGGTGTCCCCGCTGTGGGTCCGGGCTGCCGCGGGCCCCGAGCGCCGCGTTCCGGGGGCGGAGCGGCCGCCGCTCGCACAGCGCCCCCTGGCGGCCGGGCGGACCCGCCCTCGCCGGAGGTCTCGGGTTCGAGTCCCGGCACCGGCTCCTGTCCCTCAGCGCCGCCCCAGCCCCGCGTTTTGCCACATCCCAGAACCAGTCGGGACGGAAAAGGCCTCTGAGACCATCGGGCACTAGCGCTGACCAAAGACCACCATGGCACTGAGTGCCGCGCCCAGTTTCTCCTTAAACACCTCTGGGGACAGTGCCTCCACCCTGTCCCTGGGCAGCCTGCTCCCAAAGCCTAATCCCCCTTCTGAAATTCTTCCTCATGTCCACCCTCAGCCTTCCTGGAGCAGTTTAACACAACGTCTTGTTGCTCGTTGACGAGAAGAGCCCAACTCCCACCTGCCTACACCCTCCCCAGGTAGGAGGAGGAATTCCTCCCTGCATTTCCCCTTCCCCCCTTGCGGCAGTCACACGGGGCCTGGCCTGGCAGCACCGGTCAGTGGGATGGAGCTGTCCCCTCTGCCAGGCCAGGAGAACGGGGCAGAGCGCCTTGGGAAGCACCCGCTGCCCACAGCCACAGGGAAGGCTGGAGAACTCCTCTGCAGGCTGCCAGGACCAGCCTCTCTGCAGGCTGCCAGGACCAGCCTCTCTGCAGGCTGCCAGGACCAGCCTCTCTGCAGGCTGCCAGGACCTGCCTCTCTGCAGGCTGCCAGGACCTGCCTCTCTGCAGGCTGCCAGGACCTGCCTCTCATCCCGAGCAGCTCTCCCGGCACTGTGGCACAGCCACGCCCGAGGAGCAGCAGCAGGACAGTTACTGTGCCCTGCCTGTACTTGTCCTTCCCCGCCTCTCAGGCCGCCCTCAGCTGCGAGTTCTGCTTCTTAAACGCACACATTTGCTTGATCCCAGCACAAATAAAAGTGTTAGCCCTCCTAAATCCTTCCCCATTCACACAGAAAACCATTTCCTTTCATTTGACGGGTTCAATTAGTGGGAAAAAAAAACCCACCGCAGTGATTTTTATTACAAATCTGCATTCTTACTAAAAGTAAGTATACAAAGACCCTGCTCTGCACTGAGACCAGGAGCCAGCCTGGACTGGGGAGCAGGACAGAGGCTGTGACAGTCCCTGCTCAGCGTGGCTGGGCCCTGAGGCTGCCCAGGGCGGGCTGGGACGCTCGGACAAAGGCCATGTCCTGCCTGTACTTCATGGCCGTGGGGGGCTGGCGCCTGAGCAGCTGGTCACCCATGTCCTGGGGCTCAGGGTCATCGTAGATGGTGGAGATGACAACAGAAGTGTCAGCACGGGGCTTCTTCCTCCTGATAAAAGTTGGCAGCTTCTCCCCGTGGTACCTGGAGGGAAGCAGGAAAGGTTTGGCTGGGGGTTGCAGAGGCCACCAGGCATCCCTGCGCTTCCCAGCGCAGTTCCTGGAATGGTTTGGGTTGAAAAGGACCTTAAACCCAGCCAGTGTCACCCCTGCCACGGGCAGGGACACCTCCAGGGAGCTGCACATGGCCCCAGCCCTGCTGCACCCTGGCTGTCAGGGGGAGCAGGGGCTGGGAGGGCACTGGGAACTCACCCCAGCCCCCTCTTGCACCGGGGGTTCTGACCCTCGTTGTCCAGAGCTTCGGCCATCCCGGAGTTGCTGCTCCCCAGGCCCAGCCCCTCTGTCCAGCCCTGCTGCTCCAGGACCTTCCTGCCAAAGCCCTGCGAGAGGGGAAAGAACCATCACAGACTTGCTGGACACATCCCACCCTCAGCCTCCCAGAGCCCTCTTCCCACGCCAGGAGCTCTCTCTCCTCCTGACCCAGAGCCCGTGGGCACCAGCGCGGCCCAGCCCCGCCTGGGCAGGCAGAGCTCACCTTGGTGTGCCTCTCGAAGCTGCCAATGGGCTGCCCTGACACGGAGCCATCCTCCAGCCCGTCCCGGAGCCGCCGCTCCAGCCACATCTGCACCGAGTCCCGGGCATCCTTATCCCCTCCATCTGGGGACAAAGCACAGTCAGCACAGCTCAGCGAGGCTGGGCACCGCCACCACGCTCCCCAGAGCACCAGCACAGGAGGCAGAACCTGTTCTTTTTGGCAAGCCTTGCTGCCAGACCAGAAAAACACTGTTTCAGGTTCACTGACAGCTTGGATGCTTTCAAAGAATGACAAAGAGCTCCCAGATTCTGCATGCTCAGAATTTCCCCGGGGTGGGTGGCTCAGCTGTGGTACCTTTGTCATAGTAGATGCTCATGTCCACGTCCCAGTCGTCAGCTGTCTGCTCGTCAAAGTCTGCCAAGAGAAGGGAAGCAGCATTTTGGTGAGTTCTGGCACAGGGGAGCTCGTTGCTGCTGGCCCAGCTCCCTGTTTTCCCCAACAAAATGGGAAGGAATCACAGAATCACTGAAGCTGGAGATCTCCAAGACCATCCAGTCCAGCTCAGACCAGCTCCCACCTTGTCACCAGCCCAGACCACTGAGAGTCATCCTTGGACACCTCCAGGGATGGGGCCTCCACCACCTCCCTGTGCCTGACCCCCTTTCCATGGGGAAATTCCTGCTGATTCCACCCTGAGGCCATTCCCTCTCCTCCTGTCCCTGTTCCCTGAGCAGACCCCGACCCCCCGGCTGTCCCCTCCTGGCAGGAGCTGTGCAGAGTGAGGAGGGCCCCCCTGATCCCCCTTTTCTCCAGGCTGAGCCCCTCCCCAGCTCCAGCCCCTGCCCTGGGCACTCCCCAGCCCCTCCACGTCTCTGCTGCAGAACTGGACACAGCTCTGCACCCGGGGTGGTGCCTCAGCAGTGCCAGCACGCAGGAAATGGCATTAGAGACCCCCAAAGCCCACTGCCCACCCCAGGGGCTGCCAGCAGCACCACGGGGGTCTCTGGCGAGCAGCTTTGTGCCCAAGGGAAGGCTCAGTGACACAAACACCAGGGTCACCTCCTTCCTGCTCCTGCCAGAATTGGGCATCTGTGTAGAAGACGAGGCCAGAGCCGCCCTTCTCCCACTTGAGCTCGATCTCCTCCTCGAAGAGGCGCTCCCGCAGCCGCTCCTGCTGCGTCACGTCCTCGTGCAGCGCCGCGTGCCGCTGCCACTCCTCACACGTGTCATCGTCCTGCAGGGACACAGCAGGGCTGGGATGGACACAGCAGGGCTGGGATGGACACAACACAGCCTGGGATGGACACAGCAGGGCTGGGATGGACACAGCACTGCCTGGGATGGACACAGCAGGGCTGGGATGGACACAGCAGGGCTGGGATGGACACAGCAGGGCTGGGATGGACACTGCAGGGCTGGGATGGACACTGCAGGGCTGGGATGGACACAGCAGGGCTGGGATGGACACAGCAGGGCTGGGATGGACACAGCACTGCCTGGGATGGACACAGCAGGGCTGGGATGGACACAGAACAGCATGGGATGGACACAGCACGGCCTGGGATGGACACAGCACTGCCTGGGATGGACACAGCAGGGCTGGGATGGATACAGAACAGCCTGGAATGGACACAGCACTGCCTGGGATGGACACAGAACAGCCTGGGATGGACACAGCAGGGCTGGGATGGACACAGCAGGGCTGGGATGGGCACAGCAGGGCTGGGATGGACACAGCACAGCCTGGGATGGACACAGCAGAGCTGGGATGGACACAGCACAGCCTGGGATGGACACAGCACAGCCTGGGATGGACACAGAACAGCCTGGGATGGACACAGCAGGGCTGGGATGGACAAAGAACAGCCTGGGATGGACACAGCAGGGCTGGGATGGACACAGAACAGCATGGGATGGACACAGCAGGGCTGGGATGGACACAGCAGGGCTGGGATGGACACAGCAGGGCTGGGATGGACACAGAACAGCCTGGGATGGACACAGCAGGGCTGGGATGGACACAGCAGGGCTGGGATGGACACAGCAGGGCTGGGATGGACACAGCACAGCCTGGGATGGACACAGCACAGCCTGGGATGGACACAGCACAGCCTGGGATGGACACAGCACAGCCTGGGATGGACACAGCACTGCCTGGGATGGACACAGCAGGGCTGGGATGGACACAGAACAGCATGGGATGGACACAGCACGGCCTGGGATGGACACAGCACTGCCTGGGATGGACACAGCAGGGCTGGGATGGACACAGAACAGCCTGGGATGGACACAGCACAGCCTGGGATGGACACAGCACTGCCTGGGATGGAGACAGCAGGGCTGGGATGGACACAGCACTGCCTGGGATGGACACAGCACTGCCTGGGATGGACACAGCAGGCCTGGGATGGAACTGGGGACAGCAGCTCAGCCCCCTGCTGCTCCCTGACCCTTCCCAACACCCTCCCCTGGAGCAGCTCTGCTGGCAGAGCCGGGCTGGCGGGCTCAGGCCCCGACACGAGGGATGAGCTCATCCCTGACTAACAGCAGTGCCAGAGTCAGCAGGAGAAATCCCACAGCACCCCCACCCCAGGGCCCCGCTGATGCCCATTTAAGGAGCAGGTGTGTTGGACCTGGAGTCAGCACTGGCAAGGAATTCATTCCACTGCAGCTGATCCCCCAGGAGATTGCGTGGGCTCCCAGGAAGCAGCTCCCTGGCACAGACACAGAGCTGCCTGCCCAGTCCTGGGCACAGCCAAAAGGATGGCTGCAGAGCCAGGAAACAGCTGGAGCAGTCTGTTTAGTCTGGAGAAGGAAAGACTGAGTAAAAAGCTGGAAAAAGGAGGGAACAAAGCGCTCTGTGTGCCCCACGCTGCCAGCAGGAACGAACGGGGTGCAGATGCAGCAGAGATTTGGCAGCTGAGTTAATTCTGGTGCAGCAGAGAATGGGAATGGCTTGCCTGGGGATCTGCAGTGACACAGGTTTGGGGAACAGGCCAGACAGGCGCCTGCCAGGGCCAGGGGTGGGACGGCTGCTGCCCTGCCCGGTTCTGCAGGAGCCTGTGGCACTAAAGCCATTCTCCTCAGTGACCAAAGTGCCAGAGCAGGAACGTCCAAGGGCAGCCCTCTGTGCAGCTCTGCACGGCACAGAGACAGTCCCCAGCCTCTGCCACCTCCCCTGCCAGCACAGCAGAGCTGGGCCCATCTGCCAGGCAGGACCTGCTGGGCAGCACCAGCTCCCCTCTGCTCCCAGCCTTGGGAACTGACCCCCACCCCCGCCCTGAGCAGTTCTGGGGGGCTCAGGCCGCCCTGTCCCTGCCCCGAGAGGCTCAAGGGGTGAACAATCCCAGTTTAAAACTGGTTTTAACAAGCCACGGGTCCAAGTAAGAGATGAAAAACGAGCTCTGAGCGTGGGATCAGCTGCTGGAATATTCCACTTACATCATCCGAGCCTGACTCCTCTTCCTCCTGCTCCGGCCCCTCCTCATCATCCTCCTGGGGCTGGGCGGGCTGAGTCAGCCCCGGGGGCTCCGGTGCCTCGGTGATCTCATCCCCCGCGGCCGTGTACACGCCCCGTCCCTCGGCCACCGCCTGGCTGCCGGGGTAGCGGAAGGGCACGCTGCCGTAGCGGCGGCAGGAGCCGCTGCGGGGAAAGTCCAGCTGCAGCCGGGAGATCAGGCGGGGCGGCAGCCGGCAGGCCCGGATCAGCTCCAGGAACTCGCTGCGGGGCGTGCCCACGTTGCCCCGGGGCATGAACGGGGGCGGGTTCAGCTCAGGGAGCCGCCGGAGCTGCGCCTCGGTGAGCGGCGTGCCGGCGGCCGCCACGGCCAGCGCTGGATCCTGGTCCTGCTCCTGATCCTGCTCCTGATCCTGTTCCTGCTCCTGATCCTGCTCCTGCTGCTGCTCCTGCTCCTGATCCTGCTCCTGCCTGCTGGGAGCAGCCTCGGGGCCTGCGGGGAAAAGGGAGAGTTTGGGGGCCTGCCAGGGAGAGGGGAGGGTCTGGGGTCCCACAATACAGAAAGGATGGTTTGGAAGGCTCACGGGAGATCAGGGATGATTTTGGGGGCTCACAGGAGATCAGGGATGGTTTTGGCGCCTGCAGGAGAGCAGGGACAGTTTTGGGGGCCCACAGTACAGAAAGGATGGTTTTGGGGGCCTGCAGGAGAGCAGGGACGGTTTTGGGGGCCCACAATACAGAAAGGATGGTTTGGAAGGCTCACGGGAGATCAGGGATGATTTTGGGGGCTCACAGGAGATCAGGGATGGTTTTGGGCACCTGCAGGAGATCAGGGATGGCTTTGGGGCCTGCAGGAGAGCAGGGACGGTTTTGGGGGCCCACAGTACAGACAGGATGGTTTGGAAGGCTCATGGGAGTTCAGGGATGGCTTTGGGGGCCTGCAGGAGATCAGGGACGGTTTTGGGGGGTCCCACACCCCACCGGGATGGGGTAAATTCGGGAGCCCACGAAGAGGAGGGGGATACGCAGAGCCCACGCGGGCCCTGCGCGCCTCGGAGCAGGTTCAGGGCGCTGAGGAAGCTCCGCGAGCAGCTCTAACCGGGCGGTGCCGGCCCGGCCCCGCCCGCCCGTACCTGTCCCGGCGCTCAGGCGGACCCTGCGGATGAGGCAGCGGCCGGGCAGCGTGGCGCCGCCGGGTCCGACCCAGCGCTTGCCCGAGTACATGCGGACGAAGCGGCGGGCACGGCCGGGCCGCACGGACACCGGGCAGCAGCAGGTGCGCGGCGCCGAGGCCCCGCCGCCCGCCGGCGGGCGCTCGGGGCGGTGCCGGTAGTGGAAGCAGAGGAAGCCGCCGGCCTCCAGGAACTGGCTGAAGTAGGCGCGGAGGTGCGCGGAGCGGAGCGCGGCCGGGATGCCGCTCACCAGGCAGTACCGGGCGGCCCCGCCGCCGCTGCCGCCGGGCGCCGCCATCTTGGCCCGCCGGTAACGGCGCGCGGTGATGACGTTACGCGGTGATGACGTTACGCGTGATGACGTAACGCAGCGGATGGAGGGCGCCGCCTGGTGGCGGGGAGGACCCCGGCAGGCGGGGCGGCCTGAGGGGACAGGGGGGACAGAGAGACACTGGGGGGACAGAGGGACACTGGGGGGGGACAGAGAGACACTGGGGGGACAGAGAGACACTGGGGGGACAGAGAGAAACTGGGGGGGACAGAGAGAAACTGGGGGGGACAGAGAGACACTGGGGGGGACAGAGAGACCTTGGGGGGGACAGAGAGACACTGGGGGGACAGACAGACCTGAGGGGACAGAGAGACACTGGGGGGACAGAGAGACCTTGGGGGGACAGAGGGACCCGGGGGGGACAGAGAGAAACTGGGGGACAGAGGGGTTGGGGACAGGAACCCTGGCAGGTCATAGGGGTTGGGGACCAAGATCTCCCATTGTGGGGAGATTAACAGGCCCTGGGGGTCACAGACCAGGGGTCACAGGCCGGGGGTCACAGAGTGGGGGATTTTTTTATGGAAAATCCCTTTTTATTCCATGCTATCTTTTCCATGCCCGAAGGTTTTTCTGCCCACCCCAAATTCAACACCGTCGCTGAAAAGGCACCACCGTGTTCCAAAACACCACATATTTTATTAAAAAAATAATTTATTGCATCCTATATACAAACCACACGAATGTACACTTATAAAATACCGACACCTCACCTGTTGGAGGTGGGAGGAGCAAGTTTTCCAGGTGTGCACCTGGCTCTAACTGCAGGGAGGGAGGTTTGGCTCTCCCACTAAACCAGCTCTGCTTGGCTTTAACTTTTCACACAGAGCCCCAAATGAGGTACAGTAGGTTTAGGTGCTGCTAAGTGTTCTTAATCCTGGAATTACGGAGGAAAGAGAGAATCTAAGGAAAAGAGGGCTGAGTCTGTACACCCTGTAGTATTTAACACTCCGGCTTTTTCCCTGAAGAAATGTCCTGAGTGTTTCCAAGCACGGAAGCCAGACCCAGAGCTCATTCTGAGGCTGTCAGACACCACGGGATCCAGCTGAGGACAGCCCTGACTGCTGGGAGCTCGCAGCAAAACCAGTAAAAGCTGGGAGCAGGGCAGGGAACCCTTTGCCCACTGCCACTCCCTGGGCTGGAGAGCGGCCAGGCGGAGCAGGAGCCGCTGTGAACCTGCCGAGGAGGCAGCGGCACGGGGGATCCCACGGGGTCCGGAGGGACCCTGCACCGGTGCTCAGCAGGGCAGGGGCAGCCACGGCGCCTGTGGCCAGCCCGGCGCCTCGAACAGCATCTCGGCCAGCAGCTCGCCCATGGCCGCGTCGCCGATGAGGGGCCGGAAGAACAGAGCTGTCACCAGGCCGGCAGGGATGGCCCTCAGCGAGGAGGTGACCCGCAGGATGTGGGAGAAGCGGGCCTGGTCCTCGGGGTGCAGCAGCTCCTGCAGCGCCCGCTGCGCCTCCCACTGCAGGCTCTCGATGTAGAGGGCAGCCCTCAGCCCGGGGATGTCTGCGAGGGACAGCAGAGGGAGAGGAAGGATGGGAACAGCTCCAGGAGTCGCCCATTCCCACCCTTCCCCGTTTGTCAGGAGGGATTTCTGAGGCCACACTAAGGAGGTGCACACAGCGCTGCTGGGGCACAGCTGCTCCAGGAGGGAAAGCACCTAACTGGGAAAGTCAGGCTTTAAAAGTAAAGGAATCCAAGATTTATCGTCTGCAGGGCAGGTAAAGGTTTTGACATCCCTCCTTCCCGCCTCCCAGTGCATTTGGGAATGAGCAGAGTTAGGGAGAAGGTGACCAGCCCCCTCTGCTCTCACACCTGCCCATCTCTGCACACCTCCAAGCCACGAGGTCTGCCTTCACCTGGGAAGGTGCTGGGACCCCATCCGTGGACGTGGCACTGAGTGCTCAGGGCTGGTGGCAGGGTGGCACAGGGTGACCTCCACGGCCTTGGGGATCTTTCCCAGCCTCAGCGGCTCTGGGACGCCGTGCTTCTGTGTCCGGCTGCCACGAGGGCCTGGCACTCACCTGGGTTGAAGAGAACGGCTCCCCTCAGGTAGGTGAATTCGCTGGGGCTCAGGTCCAGCCTCCAGAAGCTGCTGAGGCACCACTGCAGCCGCTGCACGGCCGCCAGCGTGGGTTGTGTCCCCTCGGGCTCCTGCCCTTTGCTCTGGCCGCTGAGGAGGATCTTCTTGAGCATGCTGGGGGCCGGGGCCTCCATCACCTCGAAGGTCACCATCTCCTGCACCAGCCCCAGCAGGAACAGGGGCACCCAGCAGCCGTCCAGCAGCAGCAGCTGATCCTCCCGCGGCAGCAGGCGGAAGGCAGCCACGTTTCGGACAAAGTTGATGGTTTTGAGCAGCACGTGGGAGGCGGCCCGGCAGGTGAGGTGCGGCGTGCGCAGGCACACGGTGCGGCGCTGCGGGCACAGGCAGCGCTGCTGGGCCCCGCCGGGACGCAGGTTCTGGCTCAGGAGGGTGTACAGGATGGCGGGGTGCCTGTCCTTGCCGTGGCACCGGCACCACTCGCAGCCCGCGTCCACGCCGCTGCTCATGGCTGAGAGACACAAAATCCCTTCCGAAACACGCCACAGGCCGGATTGTCCCCGTCTGCCGGCTCTGCCAGCCCGTGGTGCTCCAGCCAGCTCTTATAAGGCCGGGTCACGGTGAACACCCCTCGGCAGCCTTGACCGGCCTGATTAAGCAGCCCTCATTAAATGTTGCCGGGCTGATTGGCCGGGCCGGGCAAGTCAACGGCCGTTTTTCTCAATGAATCGGCGGGGAGGGGTTGTGTGGCCTTATCAGGATTACCCAAACAGGATAAACAGAGTCATTACCCCAGGCTGTACCATGGCACCAAGGCCCCATGGAGCAGCTGCAGCTGCCAGGGTTCACAGACAAACACGGGGCGCTCGTCTGGGCCCGGCGTTCAATGGCCCCGGCGCCCGGCCTTGGCAAGAGCAACCTGGAAGTTGTGTTATCAGCAGCTGTTTGCCCGGCCTTGCCCGGCAGCCGCCTGTTGTGCTGGGGGAAGAGGAACCCAAAGATCCCGCAGGCTGTGATGGGCCCGGGGGTCGTGTCTGTTGGGGGAAACACAGGGCGGAGAAAGGGAAATTTGGAGAATGAGAGAAAAGGACAGGAAAAAAGCCAAAGTTGTGTGTTTTCCCAGTGGAAAGGGACGCAGAGGTGCTGCTCGGCAGCAGCTGAACGTGAACCAAAGTGGGCAGTGAGTGTTGAGTGGCACGGCTCTCAAGCCCCGGGCCCAGTTCTGGGCAGACACTGAGGTGTGAGGGGAAGGGCAGGAGCCCGGGGGCGGCAGACGGGCCGGGGGCTCAGCCCGGAGCCGAGGCGGCCCCGGGCCCAGTTCTGGGCAGACACTGAGGTGTGCGGGGAAGGGCAGGAGCCCGGGGGCGGCAGACGGGCCGGGGGCTCAGCCCGGAGCCGAGGCGGCCCCGGGTCCCGCTGGCTCGGGGCTACCCAGGCTAGGCCCAGCCCGTCGCCATGGCAACCCGGCAGCGCCCGCCGCCCCGCCCTTTCCTGGAAGATTGGCATCCGTCTCCGCCAATCAGCGGAGCGGGCGGTGCGGGGGCCGCGCTGTGATTGGCGGGCGGGGCGGGTCCGGCGCTTCCGCGGCGCCGGTTCCGGTTCCGGTTGCGGCGGCGGCCCGGTGCGGGAGCGGCGGCGCGATGGGGCTGAGCGCGGAGGAGGCGGCGGAGCAGGAGGATCGCTTCGACGGGATGCTGCTCGCCATGGCCCAGCAGCACCAGGGCGGCGTGCGCGAGGTAGCGCCGCCGGCATGGGGAGTGGGGAGGGCGGGGCGGGACCGGCGGGGAGCGGCCCGGTCTCCTCGGGCCCCGCCCCGGCACGTGGAGCAGGGGACGCACGTGCGGCGATAACGGCCGCGGGCAGCGCCAGCCCCGCCGGTAATTAGCGCGGCGGTAACGGGGTACCCCCGCCCCGGTGCCCCGGCAGTGCCTGTGTTGGTCACAGCGGCGCAAAGCACCACCGGGCAGGACGGAGCTCCCCCGGGCACCCTCCCGGCACAGCCCCGTGAGGCCTGGCCGTGACCGCGGGATCTGCTCACCCAGCCCGGTGCCTCCGGTGGGGGCTCCGGGATCCCGGGCATGACCTTCAGCAGGGCTGGAGGGTGTGGGAACATCCCACTCAGAAATAATTCATTTTAAAAATGGTCCTGTAACAGCTCCTCGTGTTGTGGCAAAACCTCAGAGTGGAACCCCCACGGGACAGGATTCCTGGGAAATAAAGACCAGCCAAGTTCGAGGAGAACATGGGCTTCCAGAGGGGGTTTGGAGGTGCTGGTTCATACCTCGGTGGTCCCTGGCAGGTGTAAAAATAAGGAGTTTGCATGCTTTTAGGCTGCAAAGGAGCAGAACATGCGATGTATAAATATAAATATAAATATAAATAGAAATAGAAATAGAAATAGAAATAGAAATAGAAATGTGATGTAGGTGTGTAGCATGCATAAATCCATACCTGCCTGAGCTGGGAACCCAGGGCTGTTCTTCAGGCAGCGCTCAGGGGCCGGTGCCAGGGCACTGCTGGCACAGCCACAGATAGGGAGGACAAAGGATAAAGGCTGCTCCAGGGACACGAGGTGGCTTCAGTGACCTGGGCTCACTGCTCCTTTTCCCTCCTCCCTCTCCCTGTTCCCCAGCTCGTGAACACCTTCTTCAGCTTCCTGAGGAGGAAGACCGATTTCTTCACTGGGGGAGAGGACGGAGTAGCAGAGAAGGTAAAAAGTGACCTCCAGGCCTTTGCCTCTTCTCCCTTCCATCCCACCCGTGTGTGCCATGCCAGGGGTCCCAGCAGGTGGGTGCACATGGGCACCAGCAGCTCCCGAGGAAAGGGAACCCAGAGCTGCCCCTGCCAGAGGTGAGGAGCACACAGTTCCCTGCTGGGATGGTACCTCAGTGGCCAGGCTCTGGCCAAAGGCTAGTTTGGAAAGCAAACCTGCCAGACACACTGACTGAACGGTGACACAGCAGGTGATGACCCCAGCAGGTGATGGGTACCTTGTTTGTTCAGGCCAGGAGAAACACAAAGTCCACGGCTCTGCACATGCAGCTGCCCCTAGGCTGGGCTGGGAGCCTGCAGCGAGCATCCCCTCATCCCCTCTCCTGCAGGGGTTTAAGGGCCTTTCAGCCCAGAACATCCTGTGGTTCTCTGAAAGAAATTTCAGAGAGAAAGGTGAACCCTGCTGTCATTTTTCCTGGATTGGAGAGCACATCTCCCCCGTTCCTGGGGGCTGTGTGATCCCACCTGAGTGGCACCTCAGAGGGGCCTGGCTACTGTCCCTGGCAAGTGAAAGGAAAGCCTTCGTGCCCTGGGTGGTGGCACCTGTCAGAATGCTCTGTGGCCTCCTGGAAAAGAGCTGTGACCCCACGGGAACCACAGCAAGTGGGGAAGAAGCTGCTTCCCCAGCCCTGCTGAGCCTTGGTGTGACAGAGGAGGGAGAGGGTGGGAAAGTCACTGTGTGTTCTGGGGGCCTTTTCAGCAGCTCCTGCTGGGGGCAGTGACACGGACAAGGTCAGGCACTGAAGGTGGTTTCCTCACCCTGGATCAGCAGTTGGGAACAGGCTGGGACATCCTGGGGGATGCACATGTTGTGTTCTGTACTCCAGGAGACGCTGTGTCAACAATCCTTGCTTGTGAAGCAAAGCAGAAATACTCAGTGCTTGCTTACAAACTACAGGTTGCTTGGAAATGTTCTGGATTTCTCCCCCACCCCAAAGCTCCTGGGAATCATATAGATAAATGTTCCCCCTTTGGTTGCTGTCTGAGGATTGTTTTCTGGGGCAGACCTCAGCTCACCTACGTGCTGCCGTGCACAGCACCCTGGCCTTAGCGACCCTGGGGCAATTCTCTGGCTGCCTGCCTGTGTACTCAGCTTTCCCGCTGAGCACGCGGCCCTTGGCATCAGAGACCTTGGGAGTTTGCCTCCTGGAGTCACAACAACCTTCGGAGAATTGGGACTGAGGCTGAAAATAAAGATTTACGGAGGAACTCACCCCTCGGTGTAAAAACAAGTGTTTCTCCTCTAAATCGTGGCACTGGGGCTCCATCTGGAGAAAAGCCCAGGCATTGGAAAGGTCAGAAGTAGGTAAAAAAGTTGGATCTGGTGTGCCCAGCTGTCCTGGAGGTATGGAGTAGCCCAGGTGGCTGGGTTGGGCATCAGCTCGTCCTGCTGGAATTGCACGAGGGACAAAATAAGTGGAGGGTTTTATTTCACTGTAATCTCCTGGAAACATACTCCTTGTGTAACTAGGAAGGACTACATTTAAACACTTGGAATTTTCTCGTTTTCCTCCCTTTTCACTTCCTCCTCTGTTTTTTGAATTGCACAATCTCTAGACTCTCAGTTGGAAAGATTGGGTGAGGATGAAGGGAAGGTTCCCCACGTCCGTGTGACTCGGCAGATGTTGCCGTGCTCCTCGGGGGAGCGAGCTGGCTCTGTTGGGGTGTGCAGGGGGGGTTGTTTGAGCCCGTGTGCCCTGTCCCTCAGCTGATCACGGAGGCCTTCAGCCACCACAACAAGCTGGCGCAGAAGGAGCGGCGGGAGAGGAAGGCGCGGCAGGAGGCCGAGCGGCGCGAGAAGGCCGAGCGCGCGGCGCGCCTGGCCGGCCAGCAGCACAGCGAGCCCCGCATCAAGGAGCTCACCGACGAGGAGGCAGAGAGGCTGCAGCTCGAAATCAGCCAGGTGAGAGCCTGCCAGCTGCCTGCAGCTGCAGCTTGGTCCTCCCCGTGGCTCCGAGGGGTTGGGGTGGCTCAGGCTTGCTCTTGGTGCAGCGCCTGTGACTTTCCTAAGGGCTGAAAATTGCCTCTTTTCCAAGTGGGATGCAGTGAGTGCTGCTCTTCAGCTGGAGCTGAAAGGCTGAGGCCATCTAGTGCCAGCTCGGGAGGTGACACAAAGTGCCAGGTCTTGGCTGAGCGCGTTCTGCTCTTGTCTTTCCAAACAGAAGAAAGAGGCACAAGGGCAGGGTAACAGTGTCCCAGTGAAACCCTTGGAGGACGAAGGTGAATCTTCAGATTCCAACAAACAGGTAAAACTTGTCTGGAAATACTTTAGAATCATAAAATGGTTTGGGTTGGAAGGGACCTTAAAGCTCATCCTGTTCCACCCTCTGCCATCACACCTTGCACTGCACCAGCTTGCTCCAAGCCCTGTCCAAAATACACACTTTGAAAATACAAATTAGAAAATTTGGCTTTAGAAATACTTACTTAATTCCTAAATGTGTCAGTACAGAGGGCTTACGGGTTTTTTCCTTGTAGTCATGTTTTACCAGAAGCAGCTATTAATTATGGAGCTAAATTTAAGTGGACATAGAATGCAAACAACTTGTTACAATAGAAACTGAAAAGGCTTTTTTCCTTACCTTGGATTGCTTAGGGCACAGATGATGAAGAGGAAGATGAGAAGGATAAAGGAAAACTTAAGCCAAACTCTGGCAATGGAGCAGACCTTCCAAATTATAGATGGACACAGACTCTTTCAGAATTGGATGTAAGTAGTGCTTTATGACCAGGATCTGAGGAATCTGACACAGGGAGTAAGAGCAGGTGCTGGTAAGAGGTGAAGCCAATTCCCTGTGTCTCAGTTGCCTCTGGAAGCTTGTTGGAAACAGCACTGTTTCAATAGCTGGCAGAGAGCTTGGTAACTCAGTAAATTCCCAGGAGCTGTACTTTGCCAGGTTCTGGTCTTGTTTTAACTGGGAATTAAAATCTGCTTTGCTTTTGATGGTCCCTTTCTTTCACCTCCTGCTTGCTCAGGACCTCAAGGAAAAGAGTCCCTGCTCTGTCTGGCTCTGGTGAAACCGAGGCAGTAAGGCTTGGGACAGCAGCATGGGAGGGTAAGGAGGAATTTCCCTGCCCAGCTGCTCAGATCTGCTCCTTTTTGCTGCAGCTGGCTGTCCCCTTCAAGGTGAGCTTCAGGCTGAAGGGCAAGGATGTGGTGGTTGATATCCAGAGACGCCGCCTCAAGGTTGGCCTCAAGGGCCACCCTCCTGTCATTGATGGGGAGCTCTTCAACGAGGTCAAGGTGGAGGAGAGCTCCTGGCTCATTGAGGATGGCAAAACTGTCACTGTGCACCTGGAGAAGGTAAAGCAGGATGGGTTGGGCAGGAGTCAGGCTTGGCTGCCTCTTCTGGGCTCTTGGCAGGGCCAGCGTGGTTGTCCTGGGCAGTGTCAGTGGGGTATTTAAGTTCCCCCATCTTCAGCATAATCTTCTGCTATTTCTCAGTAATTCAGGAAAACCTGGAAACACATAATTCATTTTTATGTTGTCCTTTAGTGTGTTTTGACATCTGTTAGTGACATGAAAATCCAGGGACAGACCTCCTTCTTGTTTCCCCTCTGGGCCTCTCCAGGTGGTTTGTTGCAGTTCCATTTATGTCATGCCAAACGGGACATCTGACATTCTCTCAGATCTCCCAGCTGTGAGAATTTAGGCTGCCTAAAGTAATTTGAAACAAAAATACCCT